GACCCGCTTCTGGTGGAGCGGGGGAAACGGGATCAACTACCCCTACGGCTTCCAGCCCAGGCCATGCTCAGCGGAAGGTTGAGTTTGTTGAGGGTGAAGGAGAGATTCGCGCGAAGGTGCTACAGGTTCTGTCTGAGGTTCAGCATCTTCCTATGGTCAAGTCGTTGATGGACAAGATTCGGGAGTGGATGTCTACGGCTTCCCCGTCTTCTGCGTCCAAGAGGCTGGCTCTGTTGGACTCGGGAGCCACCCATGTGCTTCGGGCTCCTACGACCTCAGCGGAATGGGAGCTTGCTCGGGAAGTCAAAGTCCAGTTGGCTGGGGATTCGGTTATGGCTATGAAACAGAATGAAGCGGGCTCCCTGTTGACGGGAGACCAGCTGGCCCAGGTGATCGTTCCCCTTGGCAAGGTCATCCAGGATTTGGGGTATCGGTTGTTGTGGACTTCCGAAGTCTGTGAGCTTGTGGGACCTCAAGGAGATGTTCTACCACTCACCATTAGGAATGGATGCCCTGAGGTCAGTGAAAAGGTCGCCTACCACTTGATCCAGCAGCTGGAGGCTCAGCAGCTTCCTGAGCTTGAGGGCGTTACCCAAGCCTCTATCTCGGCAATTGCAAAGTTGAAGTCAAGCTGGTGGTCCTACTTGAAGGAGTATGTCAAAACGGGTGATGTGACCGAGGCCCACCGTGCCGTTGACAAGGCCCCCTTCTTCGACTACAAAGACGCCATCAAGGAACAGATGATTACCAGAACTCCCCGTGAAGGGATTTGGAACTTGATGAAGAGTTTGAGAGTGAATAGGCGGGCAAGAAAGAGGTTGTTGAGGGCGTCGTCCTGGATTGTGAGGTGGGATGTACCAGCGATTGACAAGGCCGCTGACCCGATGAAGCACTTGATGTTTGTTGGGGACATGGTGTATGTGAACTTGAACACTATGTTGATTGAGAATGAATTTGTGGACCTGTGGAAGGTGGTGCAGTGGGCAGCTCTCAATGGGAGGATAGGGGTGGTGGTCGCTAATGATGGACCAGCGAGGCCTCTTGAACAAGTTGTTGCCCGTCCACATAGGAGCAAGGTTCACTTCCTTCATGCCCTCGCAACCGCTGCTCGAGAAGTTCATGGAGGTGAAGTTGTGCGGTTATACATCGAGGACCTCGAGCGGGTTCACAAAGTGAGTTCTGGGGCTGAGGACCCAGCGATGGCAAACTGGCCGCCGTGGACGCTTTGCAAGGAGTCGCAAAGTTACTATGAGGAGATGGGACTGTCAGACGTCTCTATTGGACGCACCGCCGACTCCGGTGCGTGGCGCATCGCCAAGTTGAGTGGCGACGCAGCGTGGAG